GTCATGGCAGCCCCAGGTCGATGCGAGCATCACGAAAGCCAATAAGAAAATTGGAACTCTGTGGCGGACACGAAAGTCGCTAACACTTGCTAGCCGTGTGCTGTTCTTCAAGTCAGCTATCATGCCGGATCTACTGTATGGGTCCGTTGCGTTTAGTCCAGGTCTCACTCAGGCCCAGACCGACCGGCTCCAAGTAGCACAAAACCGTGGGGCAAGAGCAGTTTATGGCCGGCCAGGGTTCTCTCGTGCCAGTGATCTCCTGGAACGCATGCAGGTGTTCAGGATTGGAGAAGTACATTGGCAGAAGGTCCTGGTCTTTGTCTGGAGGTGCATACACACCAGTGCGAGTCCATCCCTCCAGGAGCTCTTCGTACGCTGCGCGGATCGTAGGACGCGCCTGGATCTCGCCCTGGGGCTCCGTCTACCAGCTACACAAATCCGCGCCGGACGATCTCGCCCTGCCTCCCAAGGTAGTGCCCTTTGGAACGTCCTACCGGATGCAATCAGAGTACTGTCGTCTCTCAGCAGCTTCAAAGCTGCCGTCGTACCGTACACCCTCCGATCTTCCTGATGTTATGATTATAGACTTGCCCTGAGACAGCTTCCTGTCTGTGATTGATTTTCACTGTTTACCGTTATTATTTGCCATGGCGACCCCCGTAAGTCCGTAACTGGCAGGGCAGGGTTGGGCCTTTTAAAAACAAACAAAATCCTCCCGATGTTAGTAGCAAGTACTCTCGTTAGCAGTTAGTACTTTGTTTGTTTGTTTTTATTTTTTATTTTCTCTATTTATTCTCTTTACCAGGCGCGGGCCATCCCCTGGACTAACAAAATGGGTGCCTTATTATTATTTTTCTGTTTCTGTTTTAATGACAGTGCATTGCACGCCTGAAAAAAAAGTACTTAGTGTATTAGGCGGGCTGGCTTACTTGTAGTTTGATAACGCTTCGCTCTTCATTGAAATATCTACCATTCTCTCTTTTTTCTCCTTATTTTCTCCCCAACCCTCCTTCCCTGTAACATAATAACATATTCGCTGCCTTGTCATTGAGCATTTGTGCTCGTTTGGATTTGCGAATTCAAATAAAGTATACAAACAAACAAACCCCGGGAGGAGTGTTGATTTTCCGGGATTTTCCCGGGAAAAACGGGAGGGTTGGCCAGTATGGGCATGCAGGAACTTTACAGTGCCGGTAACCTACAGGACTGCTGTCGTCAACTGATGGCATTGCCATTCCTGCCAGAAGACCAGGTCACAGCCACCTTCGATTGGTTGGATTGAGAATGCTAACGTTCCGATGTCGCTGTGGTGCTGCCATGGAAGGGACGTTAGGACCAACAACAGTGTTGAGGGATGGCACCATCGATTTAGCCGAAAGATGAACATCACCCACCCCAACGTATGGGTGCTGTTGGAGCAACTGAAGATAGAGGCTTCGCGTACGGGCTTCTTGCCAGCCAGATGCAAGCTGGCCAGCGCATCCCAGTCGGGAAATCTTCATACACTCGACTTAACGATCGAGTTCGCGTCCTGGAAGTCAGACGTGCAAATGGAGAAATCACTAATTTTGATTTTTTTTCAAATGTTGGTCGACTTCATCATTTCTAATCTACGGATTCTCTTGTCATATCGCTATATGCCAACTAAATAATTCAAACTATGTGAAAACAAGTTTGTCAAAGAATCACCAAATCACCAAATTCCGCTAGCGAAAGTGCAGACGAGACCACTAATTCCGTGCGTAAGATACTAGTACTGCGTACTATAGTACACGCGAAAGTGCTTCGCGCTGACATATATGCGCTGAAGTGCCTGGCGCTGATGTTACCTCGCGCTGACAGTACATCGCGCTGAAGTGCCTTGCGCTGACATTACCTCGCGCTGAAGTGCCTCGCGCTGACACTACCTCGCGCTGAAATGCCTTGCGCTGAAGTGGTCGCGCTGAAATGCCTCGCGCTGTAGTGGACGCGCTGTCGCGGGATGGAATCATTCTTGACAACACACTACTTTTTGCTTGGCTAACATTGGTTTAAGATTCTGTATTTACTAGTGACTCTCTGATGCCCCATCATCGGCAAGCTATCACGGGTGTCCTAGGTGAAATCCAAATCCAGATCCAGATCCATAGGATCCACTCGATCTGCAGTGATCGATTGGTCAAATCCGGATCTAGATCCATCGGATTTGGATCCGAGCAACTCTGCCCCAGGAGCAGGGTTGACTGGATCCATCGGATTCACTTTTGCCAAACAAGATGTTTGTACATGTTTGACGGGTAACAAGACTTAGTATAGCTATTTACAGTAAAACCTGTAACTAACGACCACCGTGACTAGCGACCAGCCTGGTACTACCGACCACTTCGTCAGGCACGGACGGTCTCACATTCAAAATGCACTGTGACTAGCGACTACCTGCTGAACGCGACCAGCGACCGCCTTTTCTTGTCCCAATGTCGAATTTTGACCCGTAACTAGCGACCACGATGTAGGAAATCAAACATTGCTCGAAGCTCCTTCTCGAAATGTTGATGATTTTCCATGGTCCTGAAAGGACTGTTTCGATACTACAGCTGGACAAATGAACGCAGTCTCATTTTGACTGTGGAATCAGTGTGGACTGCACTACACCTGTCATAATTTCAAGTGCTGTCAAGAACAAACATGATAGGAAACGTCTTGGAGAGCGCATCCAAAGCGCTCTTTGATCGATGTTTACTACTCGAAGGAGAAACAGTTTACGTTGCAGCGTGGCTTGTCTACTATGGCAATGGATGTAGAGAAACTTGGTGCCTTCATGAACAAACTTGAAGCCCAGCGCAAAGAGAAGCTTCAACAGGGAACTCTTGACTCCTGGCTTCAGAAGTAGGAGCTGAATTTAATGTCTGCAATAAAACTTGATTTTCTCTCTCTCCAAGTGTTGTATGATCTGAAAGAACAATGTCAGTGCGCAAGTGGTGGGGGATTGTATTATCTGCATTTTGATATACATATCATATAATGGGATCCATATATGGTCATGCGGTGCAAACCTCTAACTAAAGACCACCTGCCACTAAAGACCACTTTTCCGGGCACCAAGGGGTGGTCGTTAGTTACAGGTTTTACTGTAGTTTGTTGCACCATGCAAATGAGTACGATGAGTAGAGTCTACGAGCGCTGGAGTAACTTATTCGATTGTCGTTTCTACGTCAACAAGGTCACGGTAGCGATATGACCAAATGTGATAGGTTGGGGATCCAGTGGATCTGGGATCTGAATCTGGATCCGAGCCTTATGCAGGTATAGAGAAGGGAGACAAAGCACTGTTGCTGTAACTCCAAGTTTCACGCATTAGCTATTATTATCATCACACAGCATCGACTACAATGCCCTAAAGATGTGATCGATATATAGGCTGCGGCAATCGTGGGCAATGCAGCGCGAGTGAATGATATGCGCCAATAGTATAATGTGCACATGTACGAGCTGGGTGGGGTGACATAAGATGACAGGCGCCAATATCATACGCTGAGGCGCAATGAGCACATTGCGCATTGCCAAATATGGATTGCATGAGTACTGCATGTAAGTACGCTGAGATCAGGAATGCGCTGTTCAACACCCCAGACAACCATGCCCCCAGGTCACGGCTGTGTGGGGTGTTCGCGGTACAAACTATGGAAGCAATGGGCTTGACCACATGCTTTGCGACTTTTTTGACGGAGATGAGATGAACAGTGCTAATAGCATCAAAGACAGAAACCAGCGCCTCACCGGTGAGGTGTGAACAGTTTATGTGACGACTGATGGCGAGAATTTTGAGAGGTAATACTTGTTTTCATGCTTGCACTTCGCAACCAGCTCGGATTTCTTGTTGATGTTGACGCACCTGTCTGCCCGCATGATTTCTAGCTTCTCTCTTTGGCACAGAGGACATAGCTTACTAAGTAGTTGTTGCTGTAAGCTGGGGCCTGGGCAATGACTGACCAGCCAATACTGTACTCACTACACTCAACCGCCTCTTATCCGGACGCCTCAGACACGGGCACGTCTCTCTACCGGGCACCTTCAGCTTGAGTTCCTACAGCACAAAGGCTTCGAATTTTGGGGTTTTAAACTTTGTTTCCGTATGTGGAATTGCTTATTTTCCACTGTCAACCTATGTAACCCACACATTTTTATCAATGGGTTCCTTTTGTATCCTGAACATGTGCAATACGTTCCAGATAAACTTCTTCAAAAAATGATGATACATGGTAAATGAGTTATCATGAGATATGGGCAAATCTGAGATACGGGCAGTGCCCGGTCCCAAGGTGCCTGGATAAGAGACGTCCGAGTGTATTTCGACGCTCCAGATTCCAGACACACTTTGATAGTGCCGTGATCTTCTCTAGTCATCCATGTCCTTAAATGTTGTTAGATGGTTGCCATATCTATTCTTGATCGCTAACGTGTGAAACTCCGAGTTACAGCAACAACGTTTGTTTTCCTCTCTATATCGGTACCTGTACGATTGGGTCATTGTATAGGATGCTGTGCAGAGTGGTGACTTTTACTCCACTGTACTGTGCTCACCTGCCATAAATCAAACGGATGATATTCTGGTCTTTGTGGTCTGAAACAGGTGAAGCATTAAAAGCAAATGATATAAACGTCATAAATATACGGACTCAAATCAATTTCGCAAGGAAATGTACTTGTATCTTACCCACTACGAGTGCTTGCGGAAGATTGGTAAGGATGAGAACGACCTTGATCTCTTCGGATGCCCCGTCCCCTCCCCCGAGGACTAAGGCTTCCACGACCTCTACCTCTATGCATTCCCACTTTCAAATGTGTTGAATTTAAGGACTCCGATGTACTGTATACCCACTGTTGAATTGTGATGGGGCAGCGTTGACAAATAAATATGTAGTACAGTGCCAAAGTGAGAATTTGGCCGGTGAAGGTGGGAAGTTCAGCAGGTGGGTCCAAAAACATAGACGAGAGGTTAGCAACAGTATCCCATTACTCTAAGCACTCTGCAACTCGAAGGCGATTCCATCACGCGCAGTTTCTTACTCAGATACATGTACAACTATTCAAACTACAAGGAACACTATTTTTTGTATTTCACAAACATCACTAATTTTTGGAACAGTTTCGAAGGAAAACAAAGTTTTGATCTTGACTTGAGAAAGCAAAATGGTCGGTGACGTCATTGAATGAGAACTGATCACGTGAGTCGTCACCCTTGGAAATAAAATCGAAAAACCAAACCTCGTCAAAACGAGTTTGTCAGTTGCTAACTTTGGTCAAAATCGGGGTTTCGATGCTAGACCCCGCGCGGTCCTCAAACCCAAACTTTTATCGACTTAGTCGTGTAAAAAGATTTGCGTTCTTTCGTCTTGTCCTCTTTCAAAATGGCGGACCCGAGGTACAGTTTGAGTTCTTGTCCTTCTTCCTCCTGTGGTCCCTTTTCCAACCATTCGGGATGTCTGTGTGTGATTCCAGTGCTAAGAAGCAGCCCAGTATCCCGGAGACTCTCCGGAAGAAGAGAGCTGCAGCACGAGCACGTCTGGCTGCTCGGGCAAAAGCTCTGCCAGTGATCCGCAAGGTAAACGCTTTTGTGTTTTGTCGCCGAGTATGATTGTTGCGTCGTTCTTCATCTGGACACCTTTGATTCCTTCTATACTGTCGTTGTCGATCTCTGTGTTGTGTAGCGCCAGCTGGCTAGGAGAAAGCTCATCTTCAAGCGTGCTGAGAAGTATGCGAAGGAGTATCACCAAGCCGAGAGGGACTTGATCAACAAGCACCGTGAGGCCAGGAAAATCGACAACTACTATGTCCCTGATCAGCCCCGTCTTGCTTTCGTGATCCGTATTCGCGGGTAAGCAATTCCATCTTTTCCTTTTGCTGAGTGTAATGTAGACAGTTGTAACAGTAACCTTTCACTCAAGTCAGATTATTTCTGAGACCTGATTTTTGTCCTGCCATTCAACTCATCACGCACACATACAATCAAGTCCATGCCCTTGTGTAGGTCTGCATATTGAGGTTTGGATTCAGCAATACTCTATATTTCCAGGTTCGCATTGTCTCGTTGTTATAAACGTGAGAAGAAGTCGAAATAGACTTCGAGATATTCAAAAGTAAAAGTGAGATATATTATGTAAATAAATCAATTGCCGAAATTATGGTACTTGTAAGTATCCTGCAATAGTGCGAGTTCTGGGGTCCGTCTACGTTATGTACAAAGATATTTGTTACGCTAGTCTTGCCCAATAAAACTGAATAGTGCTGATGCAACCATGACGTCCTCAACTAAGATGAATTGTGACAGGCGAATTCTATCATTATTCATTGCTGGTGATTTCGAATCTACAGAAGAATTGATGCCAATGATGGTTTCAACACACCGTCTGTGTATCTTTTGGTACTAGTTTCCTCTGTTAATGCTAATTAACACTAACAACGAATCGTCTTTTTTTTGTTCAGTATCAATGGAGTTGCACCAAAGGTCCGCAAGGTTCTGCAGCTTCTGCGTCTGCGACAGATCCACAACGGTGTGTTCATCCGTCTTAACAAGGCATCCATGAACCTTCTCCGCCTTGCTGAGCCTTACATCGCCTGGGGGTAAGTAGGGATTGTACCATCTGCTAGTTTTAAATGTGTATATTGCTGTCGTCAAGTTTACGGTGCACATGCCACTTGTAAAATTAGTAGTCATAGTGTGCCAAGTGTCGTGATGTAGGCTATCAAAACTGAATGGAATTGGTGTTCTGTAGAAATGCTTGGTGAGCATTGTTTACTGGTGTGGATACCATTCTACATTTCCCTATTCTCTTTCATTGATTTGTTGCAAAGCAAATCGCTTGACAACCATATGCAATTTTTACTCTCACTGTTCTTCAAGGCCTTGCATTCTTATCTGAAATGATGCAGTTCTATTGTTCACAATGCATCAGAGTTGACAGTGAATGTAACATTCTAGTGTTTTCCTGGTCAAGGCCACTTATGGCTTGTAGTTTAACCACACCAAGAGCACAATCTAAACAGTTGCTTTTTGTTTTTGTAACACCCTTTTGTAGATACCCCAACCTGAAGACGGTGAAGGAGCTTATCTACAAACGTGGATATGGCAAGCTGAAGCGTGACCGCACCGCTCTCACCGACAACAAGATTGTCCAGCAGGCTCTTGGTCGCAATGGAATCATTTGCGTTGAGGACCTTATCCACGAGATCTACACCGTTGGTGACAGCTTCAAGTGGGCCAACAACTTCTTGTGGCCATTCAAGCTGTCTTCTCCCCGTGGTGGTTTCCGTAAGATCACCAACCATTTCGTTGAGGGAGGTGACTGCGGTAACCGTGAGCTCGCCATCAACGCTCTTGTTCGCCAAATGAACTAACTATTTCAATAAAGGGTTGCCATTAGAGAAAGCAGAGGACGTGTTGCTTTGTTTGTGGCTGTGTGTGTGTGCACTCATGTCATTTGCCTGCCTTGCGTCTTGTGTTTCACCAACCAATAGTGTGCAGCTTGTGATTTTTCTGCATGGATGCTTGTCACACCGAAGGTCTTGGAGTACATCAAAGTTGATTGCAAAAACGTGATTCCGTGACTGCATCACCTTTCCCCGTGGAATCAAGTTTTTGCCATTGATCAGGGTAAAATTACTTTGTAGCTTTTCAGCTGCTGGGTTTTTCCAGTGGGACAGAGAATGCGTTTGGATTTATCACCCTACAACATTGAATGCATTTACGAAGTATCCATGCTAGTACAGTGCTCCTCAATGAAATTGACTCCCGATTTCATTGAGCAGTATTAGTACAATCATGTTGTTGGTTTGACAGCATGAAACCCTGGCTTCTCATCATTGTATTGCGCCCGTAAAAGAAGCTGTTCGTACAAAAAATGAAAGAAGGTGAAGGACACCGTGTTCGGAAACAGTGACCTTGCTACAACCATCCATGGTTGGTAGAGCCTGGTCCGTTGAGACCATGGGTGTTGAACCTGGTTCTGACCCTCATTATCACCAGGGACTCCCTGATTATCATTATTTTATGCTAGGGGGTTTTAGACCTTGTTTCATGCTGTCAAACCAACAACATGACTGTGTTTAGTTTCATCTAATACTACAATGTACAATCATGTAGCCAAACTGTCCTGGAAGTGGTACATGTACAATTATTTTGTTGGTTGACAGCATGTATTACAAGGTGGAGGACACCGTGTTCGGAAACAGTGACCTTTCTACAACCATCCATGGTTGGTAGAGCCCCGGCCGGTCGGTTGCGACCATCAGAACCGTATAGGCAAGAGTTTCATAACGGTTATTAACCCCCAGGGGTTATGAACTCTTGGTATAGGCAAGAGTACATAGGTTTATGTACTCTTGGTATAGGTGTTAGACCCAGGTCTGACCTTCTCTATTCTATAGGGGAGTTTTTAGACTTCTCGTAACCTGGTAACGGCAGTCTTGCATTCTGTTACAAGAAGTCTAAAAAAACTCCCTAGAATAGAGAGGGTCGGAACTGGGTCTAACACCCATACGGTTGTGATGGTCGCAACCGAACGGGGCTCTACTAACCGTGGATAGAAAGGTCACCGTGTTCGGAAACAGTCAACCAACAACGCGTTTGAACAAACAAGGTTTATCTAATACATGTATGGTTGTACATGTATCTGTACAGTGATTATCGTGTACATGGTTTGGTCCTGGATTGGAATGATAATAGCAAGCAGCAAGGTACACTCCAGGTCTATGCTACCTATGCGCTCCCATGGCAACGATTTTTGCTCAGGTCAATGAAAATACTGGTAGGTAACGTTGATCCTTGAGGGTGATGGTGTTCCTATACAGATGTGGAAATCCAGACATTCACGTTTGTTTCTTCACAGCCTTGGAGGCCAGGAAAATCGACGACTACAGTGTAGATAACTAGAATGCACGCGACCTGGTGGAAGTGCGGGCAAATACTTTCAAATACTTCAAAATAAAAATGTCACGTACTCATGCCATCCACTACAGTATTATACACATTGTACAGATGTACGAAATCCCATAGACCTGTTTGGGTGTTGAATGTACAGGACCCTTTTGTGTTTACTGCTACATCCACCACCAAGCATGCCCTGAAAGCCTCCCATATGACACAATTTTGTTGTAAAAAGATCTAGCTCATCACTAGCTCCCCAGTACAAAATGAACACCAAAATGATTGGGGTATGTACACACCTACAGGAGTTCCGTTATCTGCACAATGTGCATAAGGCTTATTCCACAGTGAACCACAGGCTCGAGACAGTACACACTGTGTTGCAAAAATGTGATAAGGAGAGTAAGTGCACATTGGTTGGAGAGCGCACCCACAGAAGACCGGCGGTTCATCTCCAAGCACGGAATCTCATGCAAGCATACAGACATTGATTTCCAATTGTACACTTTGGCCAGTCAGCAATTTGGAATGTGTACATTGCATACATGTAGATCTACAAGAACCCAACTTCAGTGCCACAACAGGCACAAGGAGCCCCAAGGGCATACCTTGCATGTCTGTGGTGTGGTGACTATGCACCAGAGCACATCTGTGGTGTGGTCACCAGGGAGTCGTAAAATACCATATGGTATTTTACGACTCCCTGGTGGTCACCCTGTACCACTGGCAACCTCATAGCCGCCATTTTGCATATTTTGACTATGTAGTACCAAGAGTCCATAAACAAGAGTATGCAACTGTGATACTTTTCTATGGGCCAGATGCGCGGCGCGCTGCCTTCCTTACATCATTCAGCTGCAGCCCGCGCACTGCGGAAAATCAAACACCGCACTTTCCCTCTGGTTTGAAATGAACTTTCGTACGGAACTGGAGTTCACGCGCCAGAATTTAGAGATCGCGTAGGTGCTGGAACGAATCGAGCAAAAACGGATGGGCTCGTACGAGAAATTGTGAGTTTGAATGCATGCTTTCAGAGCGTGATGAAGGCAAGTTACGTAATGAAGGCAGCGTGCCGCGCACTGACCCATAACCACAGCTGCATACTCTTGTTTATGCACTCTTGGTAGTACCTATGACAGTCATTTGCCGGTGTGGTGACAGAACTACATGTATAAACTGACGATGATCCTTATGCAAGTTGTACAGATGTACGAAGTTCTGTACTACGGCCGAAGATGTGTGTTGTTGTTGTTGTTGTTGTTGTTTGGCTTTATTTATTGTGCATACCCGGTTGGGTGTTCATTGTGTGCGCATTTAACCAATTAAGCCTCATAATCATTGTAATGGCAAACAATCGCTTTTCCAGCTTCTTCACCTTGGATAGAACAAATGACTCACTAGATCTTTATCAGATTTTTTTCCTCGTATGAAATGCCTTCAGGGCCCATTTCTTAGTGGAAATAGCAGTAAACACAATAGGTTCTTGCACATTCAACACCCAACCGGATCTACGGGATTCTGCGACATTCTACGAGATTCGACAGGATTTCGTGCATCTGTACAACGTGCATAAGGCTTATGCACAAGCTACGCGCCTGAGGCAGGGGTGTAACAGTGCAAAGCGCTTCGGGGGTAATTTCTTTGAGTAATGAGTTAAAATGAGGATGTGAACATTTACAGCAGACTAAGAAAGAGTAGATTCCTAAAGAGCAGTAAAGAAATGTACCCAAATCCTGTACTTATGGTGAGGCAGCAGTTTAGTCACCAGTGGGTAGGTATTCCTAGTACGTGCAGACATCAGCATGCTGTCCGGGCAACAGCACCAAGAATTGATGGAAGCAAAGTATACCATGCAGCCTGTGCTGACCTTGTAAAGTAGAGCCGGATGTAGTTATGCCAGGGCCGGAGCAAAGGGCCGAGAAAGGGGTGGGGGGAGAAATGCCAAAGGACAGCTGCACAGAATGTCCAATCAGTAAGAAGTGGAGAAAGGCTATGAAAGAATCACATTATCCATTGCTCTGCAGAAATGCGCACGCGCACATGTACACCAGACATACACACCTGCATGCAGGCAGAGTAAGACTGGCAGCAGCAGCACACTCCCAAGGACTGTGCAAACACGGGCAAGAGGAAGCACACGGCAAACCTAACTGCTTTTTCATGGAGTGAGTCTGGATGGGTCGCGGGGGAACAATGACGTCTTCCTGATGTTCTTGAGGCCAAGGTACAACATGAGAACACGCTCCAGACCTGGTTATACAATGAGCACAAGAATAGCATACATACATATGGATGCAATCACTACACGCTGACAAGGACAAAGGTCATACAACTGGAGAACTGCAATGTCAACAGGAATGAACAGTCACTACTGTAGTACAGGATCTGCTCACATTTGCACCATTTCTTTTTCATTTTCATTTACCGCAAATAACGCACATATAAATGCACATATAAGTACATGCGCTTATAAGTGAATTATTCCTACGAATCCAAATTCAAAAAAGAAATATGTTCACCTAAACACGCATGCACGATCAGAGTTCGTTTGCCAGAGTCTTTGTGTTTGACTAGGTCTTATAGTGTCAGTTTCATGGTTCTTGTATGTTGTTTGCAGACTTTTATCCGTGATTGTGTCAAAGTGATAATTTTGGTAGTGCTTCGCCTATAAGAGCATGCGCTTATAAGTGAAATGGCAATAAATAAGATAAATTGTGCACTCATAACAACAGCAAAAATGAAGAAAGTCAAGTTCCATAACGTTTTCTTGTGACTGTCATCAGTGGAACGCCGTCATCAAAAGTCCTATCTGCAGTAGTAGACGCGCCTATGTCATGCGAGAGTACGACTCATCGCAAAGCGTGACCGTTGCGTCTTACCTCGTGTGAGTCCCTGGACACCACATCAGGGAGGCGGTGGTCTCGTAGGTTGAGCTGACACACACTCCCTCTCTTGGCGAGCTTGTGGTATGTCGTAGGATGTACGCATATTTGTTTGAGTTTTAGTTCTAGTCACTTTGCCTCATGCTACAGCTGACAGTCCCGCGGTCAAGCAAGTAAAATATCTTTCTCGCTATGGAATGGCCATGTGTCCACTACTACTGCACTGGGCTAGGATGCATCTGAAGATATGTGTATTGCATCCGGAGATGGAGTATAATCATAATCATTGTATTACGATCGCTCGGCTCGGCTTGGTTGAGTACACTCTTTCTGGTAAGCGTCAAAATTATCTGCCCTCGTGCAAAGCTCGCTGTGTCTATCTCAGTTAGAACACTCCGACTTTGATGTTTCAAACATGTTTAAAAATTCTTTGTTGTTCAGTAGACCGATCGGTTCAGCCAGTGACTCTGAGTTCCGCTGAGGAGATCTAACAAGGTCGAAACCACTAGCTATCTGAAGATAGTGTATTGCATCATAAAATACGTCTCAACTTAAGAAATGCTGTCGGGACAGCACTGACAATGGAGGAACATGTACTCTTGGTTCTAGTTTTCCGGTTCCCACAACCATCTAAAATATTTCTTTGGCAGAATTTCAACGTGTACAGTACAAGGCATGTAACTCACCAATGCCACCACCAGCATGGGGCGGTGCTCCGTAGCGGAAGGCATCAATATAGGCCTTGATCTTCTCCAGGTCTGAAGACATACACATACACATACACACATACAATACAAGTCAGGTTGAGTATCATAAGATCATAATAACGGCCATGCCAGGTGCAATTTCCAGATCAAAAGGCAAACATAACAGGGTCTTCAGCATCTAGAAGAAAAACGTACAATCCCCAGAACATAAAACCCAGAATGTGGAGCTCAGATGGGTTGCTGTGACTGCTGTCATGGCAAAACACCTGGATTACATCATTTTAGTAATGTCGAGCGTACAAGCAGGATTCACGCGGAACTCCTGCTGCACAACTGCAGCCCAGTTGTATGCACTACACTACTTCCCGCTGCATATCTGCACCAACTACTTGTATGATGTAATCCTAGAATTTCGCCATGACCGACGCCCAAGCAGAAGAGTCAGAAGCTGCACACTCTGGGTTTCATGTACTCACGCAGTGACTGTGACGATGCATCACCATGTTGCCCAAATCTTAGAGTGCAGTAAACAAAGCCACGATAACAATCTAGTGTTGCTACTCACCAATATTGTGGAGCTTAGCACGGTCTGTCAGCATAGCAGCGTCATGGATACGCTGGGCACCGGACAGGATCTCTTCACCCCGCATGAACATGTCGTAGGAGTTGCTGGATTTCTACAGTGAATACAACCACAGATGCGCCAGCGCACACATAACAATTTATAGTGAAGTCAGAACGGAAGTTGAGAAGAAAGCAAAAGCGTTGGATGGTTGCCCATTTAATACAGCAATATAAATATTAACTTTAAAATAGAAGTTGCGACTTCGGCGGTAATAGTCATGAAGTTCGGCAAGAAGCGTGTGCTCTTCGTTGGAGCAACTAACTTCATGAATATAAATATTTCTTCTTTAAAAACGTTAAATACTGTACAGCTTGCCATTGTTGTATATTGTTTCCCTTTCATGCCTTTAGGATTATAGTGCTATAACTGTATGACATGTGCTCCGGCAAAGGAAAATGTACAGCTCAACCTCATCAAGAAAGCATAACCACATTCGCTGCACTGAATTCACTGCACTGCATTCACTCACCGCATTCACTGTTTGTAGTGCTAGACTAGAGACAAAAACACTCTGCAGCTATTGTATTTAAAATAGAGCTGGATCTCTCTAGGCATCACCGTACTAGCTAGTGTTGCGCACTATCAATCTTGCATTGCGCACAATTAGGATCGGGGATGCATTATAACCTCTATCAGGAACACGATCATCTCATAGTATCAGCATATCAGCCTATCAGGGCTCATTACAGTAAGAAAGTACTACTGGTATGTGCTTTGATTAGTGGTGAAACGAATATCAAAACCCAGTAGCCGAATATTCTTCGGCTTAACGAACGAACGAACGAATATTCTTTCGTTAACACGGATGACATCACATGCCCTCCTCTCAGTCATTTTATTGGATATTGTCACTATTATTAGGCATGACGAAAGAAGGCATATATTTCTCCATCGTTTCTAGGTCATTTTTCATAAAAATCCCCAGCTGAAGTGCCTTCCTTTCACAGGCTCAAAAAACAGCTTGAGCTTGAGACGTGATTTTCGTTCGAGCGCCATACCTCCCCTCCAGGACCTCGGATTGCGTTCGGGTGGCTTCTAAACAACAGCTGAGAGTTTGCTAATGCCGATAGATCTTTCAATGAAGCGATTCGGTCAAGTATTCACGAAGTTACGAAAGTTTGAAGTCACCCGGTTGATTCTGCATACCGGGTTAACGAATATTCGCCATGAGAAATATTCGTTCGAATGTGTCAAACCGAACGAATATTCGAACATTCGGTATATTCGTTTCACCACTAGCTTTGATGGTGAGCACAATGCATTAAACACGCCGTGACATGGCCAGCCGTTACTCACTGGATTGTTGGGATCGGGCATGGTGTAGAATGGGCGGATGGCCAATGGGAATTTGTCCAAAATGAAAAAGTCGGTCCCGTACTTCTCCTTGACAAGGCGTCCTAGGAGCTTCTCATTAGGAGTACTACAGAGAGAAAAAATCCAGAATTCAATAGCATATGTTCAGCACCACTGCCAAACAAACAGTCATTGAGTGGCAGCAAGCAACATACCACCAATATGCCCTTTTGGAATGTGTAAGCTACAGCTCACTGTGGTAGCTTTTTATGAATAACAGGCCTCTGTCGACAACGACACAGTCATATGAAGGGAGGCAAGCAAAGGCCAACACCAGGTTTCCCACCACTCACGGCCTGCGGCAAGTAAACTCCGGCAAGTAAATCCCGATACCTGGCTTTACTGCAACAACGGACTTGCACACCTGTTGTAGGCTTTACTATGCAATACATGTACATTGTTCAAAGAATGAAATTGTCTTCAAGCAGAACTACTGTAAGAGTTGAATCTCTACCGGGGCACAACGTCTAACATTATAACGAGACAAAACCCATCACTAACTCAAGAAACGTTACACGTGAGTTATTCCTTCTCTCCTCTGTACTAGAGAAACAGGAGACAGGTGTGTGATGGCAGGGTCGTTAAACTTTGTGCTCGCCAAGTGGGACATTTTTGCAAACCGCTAAACTTTAGACTCGTCACACTTTCAACTCTTACAGTATTCAATCCCCACACACCTGTGTACATATTTCGTACCTACACAAGTGTCGTATTTGAAAGGATTTGTGGCAGCTTGAGAGAGTGTACACTATAACGTTTTCAATCATTCTTTATATGTGTGTAAGCGCGTGTCATGCGAAAAGCCAGCGGCCGGGTTTTGTCACAAATCTCTGCGTGCATGGCACACACATGTATCTGTATGCACAATGCCAGCAAGGACTTTCACAAATGCCATCCTTGAGTATTCTAGCGGTATCCCCCCAAAAGGCAAAATACAAAGCATCAGCAGGCATGGCCATACTGAAAAGTACCCGACACACAGCTGGAATAACTTTAGCTACATGCATAGGCGGCGACACCACCATAATCATGTATTGCATATGACTTCATACTACACTATGCCTGACAAAGTGCACTACTGACCTGAGATCATCCTCATCATCCATGACCACTCCGTTCTCACGCAGCAGAGTAATTCCCTCCGACCACTCAAGACGAAGACTGCAGAGAAGACATAACCAGTACAAGAAAATACCACAGATTGTTTGGGGTTCATTGTCCTGACTCCTTAGTGACTATATATCCACATCACCAGCAGTAAGGTGACAGGATAAGTAACACATGCATGGCATGGCTGTTGTAGAAGTTCTGCTAGCAAACCTCATAACGAAGAATGGCATCATGGAAACAAGGCACAAGAATATACAGCATATGAAAATTCAGCTTCTAGAAAAAAGTCAGATCTCCCTTTTTTTGGCCAGCATGGAGAGGCACCCGTAACTTAGTACAAGAACATAGTATGGGTATATTGACTACATTCACAGTATCTGCCATCAAGGCCAGTTGGTGCTGCTCAGTGTCGTTTCTGAGCTCTGTATGGCACCGCCATACCAGCAACGCAATGACCTTTGCTGCGTGCTGCGAAGTCCAATGAATGCTCGTTTCCATGCTCCAAAAAATCTAGAATTTGTCAGTGAAACCTCCGAACCGCATTCCCATGTATCCGCCCGTTTCACCTCCCAAGTCTCTACATTGGATTATCACAGTTCTACTTCAAGTAATACTAGGACAGCTTGGACTGTAGTCTCACCTGGGCTCCAGGAACTGAAACGGTTCACATGGAAATTGCTTGTTGATGGTGTCAATCTCTGAGGCAAATCTAATAGCACCAACAAAGAGACAGCAATGAAATTTACAATAGATACCTTTGCCAGAAGAAAAAAAGTGTAGTGAAACTCGTAAGACGTGTAGCTATCGTTAGCCAGAACAGCGTCGGTGATCAAACCTTTCCTGTGCTACTCCAAGTTTCACACTGAAAAGCAGTGAATAGCAAATAGGCAACCCTCACCTATGCTGCACACTCTACCCTGGGGTATAGAATACACTTCACAGCTCAAGGGGCAGAGATGTCCGTCAAACTTACTGCACACTAAAAGCTACTCAAGCACAAGGGAATTGCCACAATATCAACGCACACATCAAAACGAAATTGATATGGAACATGATGTACTGAGTTGTTGCAAACAGTACAGCTGCACTCTCCCTAACAAAGCTCATGCCATCATCTCTGTGGATTGCCATGTGTACTAGACTCACTGGTCACGGAGACCCTTGAACAGGCTCACAAACAAGCTCCCGATGACGTCCAGCACCTACATACAGAAACACGCAGTGTAGCAAATTACAACAGCACACAATATAAGCGACTGAGAACCCCAGTAACTGAACTAGCTAGCAAGTATACCTGAGATCAACGGGCAATGTACATGTACATGTACATGCTCCGCTGATCTTATTGCATACTTCGAAGTACAATAAAGAAAAGTCTGAAAAGAGCACGTGAAAAACACACAAAGTATACGGATCACCGCACCACAGGCATACAAATGAGTGGATCCACTACATCCCAAATATATGGTGAAGTTATTTCTTCAAACCAAGGCTCACGTAATGCTAGAAAACGCAAAATACAAAAAGATTACAGGAACACAGTCAAGAAAACAAGATCCCAGGTGTACATCGTGTGAACTACAGATGCCACGACACTGCAGAGAACCATGAACAAGGATACAAGGCAACAAAATTAAATAAAGTGCTGACCTCGTGATAATGCTCATTGAAAGCCATCTCCAAGTCCAAGCCAACAAACTCAGTGAGATGACGATGTGTGTTGGAGTCCTCCGCACGGAACACTACAGAAAACAACACCGGAATCAATGATACATGTACATCAGAAATTGAAGTTCTTGTTTACTTACTGCAGGGTGAAAAAAATATCAAAACTAATCCTTGACATCTGTTAGAGCAAAAGGCCCAAAATTAGATTTCAAAAATGAAAACAGGTACATGTACTTCGAAGTACACTACTAAGCTAGTGTGCCCAGCACACATCAGCACTGTATTCAAACAATCAACTACTGAGACATGAAAGACACCTAACAGTACAAAGGTGTGCATATTCTTACCAGGTCCCACACAGAATACACGCTCAAAGTCAGCACAGATGGCCATTTGCTTGTAAAGCTGTGGAGACTGTGCCAGGTAGGCCTTACCTGCAGACAGGAAAGATAACGAAAGCACGGGCAAGCCTCAATTAATCAGCCTTCAAAACATCACACCCTGTTATCATGATAAAGTACGTTTGTGGCAAATTCAAGATGCGAGGATAGTATCTCTGTGCCACAGGATTTTTCACAGATGAGTCAAACCTGATGCAAACAGCAACTAAGTCACCAGGCAAACAGGAAAGATCGATGCGCCATCAATATGGATGCTTACCGTATTTCCTCGGTCATATATGATCTATAATATTAAAGTCGCATCCAGTCAAGTCAAATTGTGTCCCCATTTTCAGGCTCCGTTTTAGTGTGTTCGCTTGAGTAATAATAAGTCACACTCAATCATAAGACACACCTCCTGGTTCAATATCGGGATGTGTTTCTAAAAGAAACTAACGGAGTTATATTCGGGGAAATACAGTATTATAAGGTCAAAGCCGGTCAACAAGCAAAGCATTTAGCGTTGATTATCTAGCACTTACGGTCGAAGTAGCCAACTGTAAAGACATTGGCACCACCTTCGCTAGCAGCTGTAGTCACACACACACACACACACACACACCATTGGACCATTGGACGCCCATCGCCGAAGGCGATGATAGCGATGCTACAGCAGAAGCCATAGCAGCTTGTGCTGGGATTGCACAATTCAACAACTTGCAAGGCTGAAGAATTGACCGCCACTATTCAGCCTGGTCTACACCACACAGCTATGAAGTGGCTTTTTCTGGCCAGTGAATCCCTACTTTTTGGTCTTTTTTCATTTTTTTCCGCACACACATCACACCACATACTCTGGCATGCACTGGCTGTTGGTAACCACCCAGGAGGATGAAAGAAAAGTCAGGAGGAGTCTGAGAAAGAGAAGAAAGACGTGTGTGACCACAATCGTCGGGAATCGAACCCGCAACCTCTCGATTGGAAATCGCTGCACATACCACTGCACCATATGGGACACACACACGCACGCACGCACGCACCATAATCATCATCATTAAAAGTTAGCACTTAGTCACTTTGCCAATCAGCACACAGCGAGAGGACAAGTACTACATTGTAAACTCACACAAGCTGTGACACAACTATGAAATGGACATGATCACATCCAGTGAAGAATTGCAGGCAACATGATCTAATATGTTAACCTATTATACACATGACTACTGACACATTTACAACAGCAAAAATGGCAATAGTATGTACACTATTTCACATGTAAATATCACATAAATAATATCAAATACATCTCATTACAACTACTGTACACACACAGCTTACCACTGATGATATGAGGAGTTTGGATTTCCACAAATCGCCTTGAAGCAAGGTGCTCTTTGAAAAGGCGAACAACACCTCCTTGCATGCGAAAGATGGCCTGATTAGTCGTTGTCCTCAGGTCGATTATTCTGTTGTCCAGGCGAGTGTCTTGATTGACTTTCGGCCCAGCCGCACCTTCCTCTTCCTCAGCCTCTGTCCGGGAAGCATCCTCAATTTGAAGAGGTAGACGAGGTTCAGACTTGCTCACCGTGAAGAGTTCCTGCACGTGCAGCTCAACATTCTGCTGTGTGCAACTCGTCACCGGCTTTTCTACAGTCCTCACTACTCCAATGGCATCCACAATAGACTCCTTTGGAATACTAGACAATGGCAAAGTTCACATGATCGCATTATGGACAAGCAACGAAGACAATAACAGAATAAACGCCTACATGTGGATCCCATTGTGAGGACAATTGTGGCTTTTAGAGCACCGGAAATAGCCAAACATGTGACAAATGAGCATTATCTGCCACGCAGATCTTTCCATTGTAAATCTCAGAACAAGAATATACATAAACATGCCAGCAGAGCAGAAACAGACACAAAACAGAAGCAAGAGCCCAATGCATGTACTTAAAGCGGGTTTAAATATCAGATTCTGCTGCCCAAGAGGGTGAGCCGGTCGAGAAAATTGTCCAACTCTGTCCACACATATCTCCAGAAAGGTGTGCAACGAAGTTTTGTAAGTAATCAAAACAGTCTACCTCAGCTTACCCAGAGGCAAACTTCAGCATTTGCTTGCTGACTTTGTCTCCTTTGGTAACAATTCCTTGCACTGTGTAACATTGCTGCCTTAGTACTACAAAGCAATATTTTCCTGCAGGAGAAGAATACAACACACAGCATGCAGCACAAAAGAGAAAGTTTTCAGAGGTATACAGTTCAAAAGATACGATTCATAAGTCGACCTAAGTACTTGTTAGCAGACAAACTTGGTTCGTTACAGTATCTTAGTGAGTCTCAAGGCAGGCATGTTTGTTTAGCATCATCACACAAATGAGCTTGAGTGAGTATGAGTCTGAGCTAATATGGAAAGTCAGCCGCAGCAAACCATTGCTCACAAGTCATTCCTCACTATGGGGCAATGTCCAGAAATTGCCTGTAAAGACTTGTAGTGATGAGTTGATCGAGAACGGGTTTCAAACTGTAAAAAGAGAGTTAACAGCTCTCTTCCGATCATCGCATGACACAAACACAAAGCTTACCTGTCAGTCTACTGGTGTGCAGACGTGCACGCACAAGAACGGTCTTGTCGGCTAAGCTCTCTGACAGCTCATCCACGCGTACAAATGTACGGCCTGTACAGTAAGTGCAAGACAATCGCAGGGCCATGTGTTTAGTACACCATTCAATAATGTTACTCGAAAGATTAAGTAAACATGTATCGGGTTGAGGGAGTCAGCTGAACAGGGAAAACTGATGGTGAAGATTCACATGTGACTGAAACAGAAATTAAATACTCAATACTCCCCATCGAGTCCGACAACAAGGCTAGAACTGTACCTTGGCTGCTGGTGGAGTCATTTCTAAACTTCAAAACACATCACTGTAGCAAGTTGTACTAACCTGGCCTGTCAGTAGAGCGTATCACTGGCATGTCACCATAAAGTCCTTTCGATACATCCTGGAGAGAGAGAGAGAGAGAGAGAGAGAGAGAGAGAGAGAGAGAGAGAGAGAGAGAGAGAGAGAGAGAGAGAGAAAGAGAGAGGTGGACAGGCCAGATTCTTTCACATGCGTAGGCAGTCATGTAATAACCAAAGTCTGACTTCACTCTGCATGCTACAGTAACGCAATGCATTGGCAGTTGAGTATTGTAAGCATCATCACCGTGGCCAATTTGTCAGGGTGCTTGATAGTGGTACTGGTATAAGGCGCGGGGCCTTTCGTCAAGTGGGTGCAGGGGAACGAACACAGCAGACACCACTTGGTGTACCCTCGCCAACTCCAAAAAAAGAAAAAGAAGGCATCAAACAGATCTCACACAGAAGAGGACCAAATATCAGCGTTCCTTCCTACCTCTTCTGCTGCGGCAGCACTTTCAGCACCACCACTGGCAGCTTGAGCATCAGCCTGCGAATAACACATAGTAGGCCAGCACGGTTAGATGACACCAACACTCAACAGGATTCACGTGCACAAGCGCTTGCAAAATTCTGTACACATGAGTAATCAGTAGCTGACTTCTAATACATTCAAATCCAAAGTGCCAGATTATCCAAGAAGTCAGAATTGAGCACGTAATACCTATTTAGCTGTACCTTTAGCTTTGCCTTTTCAGCCTTCTTCTCCGCCTTCTTTTTGGCCTTCTTAGACTCGGCTGCAGCACTTCACATAGAGAAGAAAAAAGGGGCACGGCATGACTTTGCAAAGATTGTTCGAGGTACATTTTGTGTGCGAACACGTTGAAAGTAACACTACGCGCACCACATTGCACCGACGCAACTGTCCACACCGCAACCACTTCACAGTTGTTATATTTCACTTCATCATCACATGACACTTCTCTGCGGTACACGCGGTACACACCTCAGGAGCTTATTCCCGTAGCTATGCAGAAGACGTTACTTCAGTAACGTCTGGCGCTAGCCAGGGTCCACACAGCTTTAATTTGGTGTTTGTTTGTGTCACGCCTGGCGCTATCCCGTATCTGTCCCGTACCGTACCGTACCATCAAAGACAGCTGGCCACAACATTCAAATAGGGCTTTCAAACGCAAGATCATAACGTGAAGCAACTTGGAAGAATGAGTATGAATGCGAAGTGTTTCGGGGAATGCATGTAGGGCGATAGTGCGGGTTCGAATCCCAGGTTTAATATGCCTTGAAAAAAAATAGGAGAATTGAAAAATTTATAACATCCTCATGCTTTTTTTGCCTAGGTCATCAAGGCGGTAGACGGTGTCGTATTACCCTCGCCCGTAACTGTCCCGTACCGTACCGTATCATCAAAGACGGCTGGCCACAATATTCAAATACTGTAGGGCTTTGAAATGCAAGATCATAACGTGAAGCAACTTGAAAGAATTAGTATGTATGCGAAGTGTATCTGCGGATGCTTGCAGGGCGATAGTGCGGGTTCGAATCCCAGGTTATACGAGTATCTGAAAAAAACATCCCTATGCTTTTTTTGTCTAGGTCATCAAGGCAAAAAAAAAGCATAGCGTAGGGCCCTGAGCTTCCAAGCTCTCTCGTTTCTGAACATGGATGTGACTTCCGAGCACCTTTTTATGAACTGACCTCCCCAAGAGACTAGATTCCCTTCACCCGTGAAGCCGTAGTTAATCCTTTACCATCCGACCAAATTTCCCCAGCAGTCCCAAATGCAATAATTCTCCCCTTATTCTGAGAATATCTTCGGTTCTAATCAACCAATTTTCACAATCTTGGGCATTCTGGAAAGCTCTCCACGAGCTGCGTACATTGAGCTCAAACAGGGCACTACCGAGATCACATATCCAGCGCCAGGGAGCTTCAAATACACCCCATCGCTGTATATACGA